CAAGAGGGAGGGAGGGACCCCAGGGTGCCCACCCCCTCGCTGGAAAAGGGGAGCAGCCGGGTGTCCCTTTTATCTCCCAGGGGCTGGAGGTTTTTGTTGGGAGCAGCTTCGATTCATCGGTTGGTCCAGGAGGTGCCGGGAGGTACTCACGAGTCCCAGAATACTCTGGCCAGCAGAGCCGTGGGGGATTCTGGGTGCTGTAGTCCCCAAATGGGGCTTCTCTCCAGCTCTGCTTTGTCCTCGGAATCGAGCATCCCATTTGTTCGCCCCGCGAAAACCGGAGGTTCTTGTGATTTCAGACGCCTGAGCGGTGGTCTTCCCACTTCGGAAATATATATTTTGGGGATGGGGTGGGGTGGACATAGCTTGGGGGCCCAGATAGCATTTCCTCCCTTGAAATGGGCTCCCAAGTTTCCTTTTAACACTCATCTCTCCCAAACTATGAGCCCTCGTATCTACTCAGATCTGTGGCCTCTTGATTAAATTTTTTTAAATAATTTTCTTTTTTAAAAAATGCACATTATAAATTCTGTAATAATTGGGCCCTCGAGGGAAGTGTTAAACAGGACACAGAAAGCTCAAAGGCTTTAAATTGTAGTTTTCATGTACTTTGTTTGATTTTTATGTTTTTACAGTAGGGTGAATTTATATGGTTTTAGCCAAATGTTCTGGCTTTTATTTCTTGGAGAAAGGTAAACGCCCTCAAGGACAATGTCTTGATGGAAGGGTGGACAGAAATGTAATGAATGAATACATATATACGTACCCACAGAATGAAATCACTCATGGGCATATGTTTGTGTGTGTGTGTTTGCAGTCTTCTGTTTGTGTATGTGGATATACAACCACACCCCACGTTGCATTATTCCTCTGGGCTTTTTAAAACATTAAATTTAAGCCTCAATCCAAACGATTGCTCTTCAGCATGTTTTGGGAACTACCGCTCCCATGATTTCCCACCAGTAGAGTGGGATAATGGAAGCTGTAGTCAAATGGGGTTGTGGAAGACGTGTTTTCAGTCTCTTTAAAGACGCAGGATATATCTGTTTCTTTAGTGGTGATTCGTAAAGGAAAACGTGGTCAGCTAGGATTTTTAGAAATGGTTTTTATTGCTTTTGAACTTCTCCCCTGCTGACCTGCAAAGGATTTGGGTGTCGGGTTTTGCTGGGTGGAAATGATGGCCTGGCTGGATTCAGGCACTGGGGCACCTTCACTGCTAGCTGGTCTAATCCAGGATCCTTCTTTTTCAGAGTGTGGGGGGTTTCAGATGGGGGGAGTGGGGGACGTTCGGTCCCGCAGGTCTTTCTTGGGATCTGAAGTCTGAAACTCCGTGGAAGGCCCAGGTTTCCCGCCCTTTCATGTAGCCGCGTTGAGTAAATGATCTACAGAATAAATTGGGGTGGTGGCAGGGAGAGAGCCCCTGGCTGGTCGTTTCCCTCCCCATAAGCAGATTATGGGAGGGGGTGCGACTCCAGGCGGCTCCCATCCCCCCCCATCCTCTCTGCCCCACAGGGAATTCGTCCCCAGAGGGCTTACCATGGCCCTTCTGCCTCTAGGTCTTCTGCCCAGGCTCTCCTCTACCCATGGGCCTGTTTCTTCCTGAAATCCAGGGCTTCAGAAAGTTCTCTGCAGGAGAAATTCAGCCTCCCCACCCCTCTTCCCACCAGCGTGGGGGGTTCTGGGATTCGTAGTCCACAGAGAAGGTGTCGCCCTCCGGACGAGTAGCCACTGCCAATTTGAGAACCACCGTAGAAGGGCTGAGTCAGAGGGGGGGTCCCTAACCCTCATCTAGTCCAGCCGCAGCCTTAGCGTTGGCTTGCCTCCTGGTCGCTCATTTCGGGGAGGGGGTCCCCACGAAGCTCGGCCCTCTGCGGTTTGGGGGGCCCTTCCCTCTCAGCTGCCCGGTTCTTTTCCTCCCACAGATCCCAGCAGAACTGATCTCTCTCGACACGGTCCAGCTGGGGGCGGTGGACATCATCTCCTTGGAGCAGAGCCATAAGGAGCGCGTGGAGCGGCTGGTGAG